TGGCAGCTGATCTCTAGAGCATCCGATGACAACCATTGAAGACACGTCGTCTTCCGCACAGGTGCTTCGCACTCAAGTATGATTCTACATACTCTTACCACCTTGTGTCTGTCTAACGCACAAAAGACCTATCGTCTCCCTCCCACCTCAAACTCTTCCACTACTGCTAACACTCCCACATAACTCCCTAACGGGAGTCTGAGGTTGTCCCTCTGATGAGATGCTAGGGGTGCTAAGCATGAAAAACTGCGGTTCAGGGTGTGCAACCCCCTATGGCTGTCTTCAGCGGCAGTGTCTAACATCAACGTAACTTCTAATTTACTCCCTCTTCTTAATATTTTAAAACTAACATGCACTCTCCGGTTATCGAGATGATAACATAATAAAAATTAATCTTCCCTCAACCCATGTTATGTTATGCCTGCTGCTTACTTGGCGCTATTTTACGATTGGACAGATACATGGTTTGGTTCCCCATTATATATGGGGTAGCCGTGTTCTACACACACTCCCGGATATTATATCCAATCGCTAAGTTGGGGTCGATTCCCTTGCTAACAGACCACTTATCTGGTCCTACATAATATTTTGCGATCCTTACTCATGTGCAGAACAAGATACTAACAGTACCTCACCCCCACCCCCTCTCGTTCACCATGCATATACACAACACGAACGGCTCTGCTCTAACGCATGCGCATTACTACGTATAAGTTCATGCTACGACGAGATATAAATTGAAAACCACGATATACTCATTTATTCCGCATACTTGTTTCGCTAGTTGCATCTCTGACTAGACACAGGATTGCTAATCAACCTTAAATTAAATATATTCACCTACAAAATCCCCTTGTAAATACGGTACTAGTAGTATATATGCATAGCACTCTGTAGATTCACACACGGTCGAATTATAACATCCTGGTGATAATCACCCGTCCTTTACACTCTGACTTTCTGATGATGATGACTGAATCTCTAAATATGCCACACAGTTTACCTTTGCAATCCAAATTCGAATTGTTACACTTATGTCTTCAACTTGTAAAAACTCATAGATAGTCAACCTTCTTTAGAAATGACTAAATATGCCAGTCAATTGACATTTGCAATCCAAATTCGAATTGTTACACTTACGTCCTCAACTTGTTAAAAATCCTTGATAATCAACCCTGTTAAGAAATGACGCGCCACTACGTCTTACGATACGATTATTTTCGTATTCAACCATGCATGTCTTATATGTTAATAGTGGTCAATCGGCTGAGTTTGGTCCTCTAATTTCATCTCTCATTAAACCTTTACAATCCCACTTCGGAGCCGCTATGCTTATAGCACAAATCCCCGAACGTCATAGGATAAGTTAGGAAGTACATACCTGCGTCGCACAACGAACATGTTCGGAGGTTTCCCGAACGTCCGAACACGTTCTGGCATTCGCCCGAATCGGAACTGAACACGTTCACACAAACGGTTTTTTTCGGCCTGCGAACGTGTTGGTTCTGCGGGCGGTACCGGGTCGGTAGGGTCTGGGGGCCGGTTGGGGGGTGTGTTTGGGTGGAGGTACCGACCCTGTAGGGCCTGTATCAACATTTTACTCGGTGTTAGGACCCTGAAGATTTTCAGTATTTTACTTGCTGTTGTGCAATTATCTCATTGGGTGGAGCCCTCCTTCAATCACGGAGTATATGTAGGGTGTCAGGATCACTTCTGACAGAAGTCGATTTCATTCCAAAAACATGTGGCGGTTACTTTGTTCCCTTTTTTTGCAACCACCACCATCAGATCATTTGTGATATGATGGTTGGGAAGCACTCTACCATGATTCCAGTGGCAGGTCTCT